TATATATATATATATATATTCAGGTTACTCCTCTCCGCTTGACCTCTCTCCTACGCTCCCCTCTACAACTATCCAAAACCCTCAAAATGTCAACAGCAGAACCACCAAGCAAACCCCTCACAATGCCAACAGAAGCACCACCAACAAATGGCAACTCCTCAGAAATGACCACCCACCCCCTCCTGATAAACAACACCCCCCACCAATCCCCAAGCTCCTTCCCCGTCCACTCCCCCAGCGACACTACGCACCTTCATAACTTCTCCTCCGCCTCCCCCAGCTGCACATCTGACGCCCTCTCTTCCGCAAGCACCGCCTTCCCTGCCTGGGCAGCCCTCCCGCCCCCCACCAAACGCGACATATTCCTGCAGGCCGCCTCGCTGCTAAAATCCCGCCTCCCCTCCCTCCAAGCGACCATGACCCGCGAAACGGGCGCCTCCCCCTCCTGGGCAGCCTTCGACACAAACCTCGCCATCCAGATCCTGCTCGACGTCTCCGGCCGCCTCTCCAGCCTCACCGGTTCCATCCCCACGCCCAGCGACCCAGGTACATCCGCGCTAGTGTACAAAGAACCCTACGGCGTGGTCCTCGCCATCGCGCCCTGGAACGCCCCGCATATCCTCGGTATGCGCTCTATCATCTACCCGCTCGCAGCTGGCAACACCGTGATCTTCAAAGCGCACGAGCTATCGCCGCTCACGCACACGGCACTCGTCACGGCGCTGCATGATGCCGGACTACCTCCAGGCGTGCTAACGCTACTCGCGCATGCGCCGGCGCAGGCGGCCGAGGTTACAAGGCAGCTGATTGAAGACCCTCGGGTCAAGAAGGTGAATTTCACGGGGAGTACGAATGTAGGGCGTGTGATTGCCGAGATGGCGGGACGATGTCTGAAGCCTGTTGTGTTGGAGTTGGGGGGGAAGGCGCCGGCGATTGTGTGGCGGGATGCGGATGTGGAGTTGGCGGCGAGGGAGTGTGCGGTTGGGGCGTTTCTGCACGGGGGGCAGGTGTGTATGAGCACGGAGCGGATAATCGTGCACGAAGACATCGCCGAGGACTTCCAGTCTGCGTTCAAGAAGGCGATCGGGGAATTGGGGCTCGATGGCAAGGGGTGTCTGATTAACGGGGCAAGTGTGCTGAAGAACCAACACCTAGTCCGAGACGCCGTTTCTCAAGGCGCGACGCTCATCCACGGCTCTCTGCCCTCCTCCTCACCCTCTCCCGATAACCAAAACCAAGCCCAAGCCCAAGACCAAGGCCACGGAGCCCACATGTCCCCCCTCGTGATAAAAAACCCCCCCCTCACCAGCTCCATCTACAGCACCGAATCCTTCGGCCCCACCGTCTCCCTCTACACCATTTCCAGCGAGACCTCCGCCCTATCCCTAGCCAACGACACATCCTACGGCCTCAGCGCCGCGATCTTCACCTCGGACCTGCGCC